TGGCCTCCTGACCCCTTGTTCACTTGCATACGCCGAGCTGTGGTCGGCCACACATCGACAACGTTCTGTGGCAGTGGGCCTCTCAGCGCGTCCCGCTATTGCTCTCGCCACGTTGGACCAGTTGGCCGCGGGGGGAACGTGTGTGTGTGTGTGTTTGTGTGTGTGTGTTTGTCTGTGTGTGTGTGTGTGTTTGTTTGGTTGTTTGTTTGTGTGTGTTTGTGTGTGTGTGTGAGTGTGTGTGTGTGTGTGAGTGTGTGTGAGTGTGTGTGAGTGTGTGTGTGTGAGTGTGTGTGAGTGTGTGTGAGTGTGTGTGAGTGTGTGTGAGTGTGTGTGTGTGTGTGTGTGTGTGTGTGTGTGTGTGTGTGTGTGTGTGTGTGTGTGTGTGTGTGTGTGTGTGTGTGTGGGGCGTCCCTTCGTTTCCCCCTCCTTTCCCTGCCCCTGCCCTGCTTCCGCTCTCCCTCTCTCCCGCCCCTGCGTCCCTGCCGTCCGCTCTCGCCGTCGCCGCCCCGGTCGCCGCCGCTCCTGTCTGCCTGTCCGTCGGTCTGTCTGTCTGTCTGTCTGTACGTCCGCCTGCCTGCCTCTCTGTCTGCCTGTACCTGTCTCCCTCTCCCTCTCCCTCTCCCTCTCCCTCTCCCTCTCTCTCTGCCTGTCCATGCCTCCCTCGCACACGCTCCCGCTCCCTCCCTCTCGAACCTCTGCGCGCTCCTCCTCTGCCCCACCCCCCCCCTCCTCGGGCCGCCGCGGCGGCCTGCGCCCAGCTCCCTCGCAGGGCGGGGGCGGGTGCCCTGGAGTTGGGCGGCGCGGGGCCCTGGCAGGGTTCTCCCGGTTTTGCCCGGCCTCGGCCCGCTCTCTGCCCCCGCCCAGCCCTCTCTCCCCTCCCCCCCTCGCTCGTGGCCTCCCGCCTCCCCTGCCCCCAAATTCCTGGCCTCTCCCCTCCTTCCGCGTCCTTTCCTCCTCCCCCCCCCCCCACTCGCGTCTCCCCCATCCGCTCCAGATGGATCTCGGAGTCGCCCCCTGGACCCCTGGACCTGTCCTGGAGCGCGTTCTGACCAGGATTTCGAGGCGAATCTTACAGTGGCGACGATACTGGATAAGAATCCCCCAACAGGTAACATCAAGAAGTGGTTGGAAGATGACGATGGATCGGATCGAATGAGCAGGCTGTGTATGTGTGTCCTAGTACACCAGAGGAAAAGGACGATGACGAGGGGAAGGAGGATGGGGTGAGGATGAGGAGGAGGAGCAGGAGGAAAAGGAGAAGGAGGAGGACAAGGAGAAGGAGAAGGAGCAAGGGGATGATGCTGATGATGATGATGCTGCTGATGATGATGATGATGATGATGATGACGATGATGATGATGATGATGATGATGATGATGATGATGATGATGATGATGATGATGATGATGATGATGATGATGATGATGATGATGATGATGATGATACTGCTGCTGCTGATGATGATGCTGATGATGCTGCTGATGATGATTCTGATGCTGATGCTGCTGCTGATGCTGATGCTGATGAGGATGATGATGCTGCCCATGATGATGCTGATGCTAATGCTGATGCTGACGCTGATGCTGTTGATGATGCTGATGCTGATCATGGTGCTGCTGCTGATGCTGATGATGGTGACGGTGTTGATGATGATAGTGATGATGACGATGATGATGATGATGATGCTGATGATGATGATGATGCTGATGATGATACTGTTGATGTTAAGTATGATATTGTTACTGATAATCCTGATCATGCTGATTATGATGATGCTGATGCTGATGGTGGTAATGTTGATACTGATGACGCTGCTGCTGATGATGATGGTGATGATGATGGTGATGATGAGGCGGATTATGAGAAGGAGGAGGGGAGGAAGAGGAGGAGGATGACGGGCCCAGGATCCCAGGCTCAGGAACCATACCAACCCTAAGCGATGTGGCGCCCCCCGCCGGCTCATTCCTGCCAGGGCCCCCGTCGTCGAACTCCGGGTATAGCGCGCGCGCCAAGCGCCGCCGCGTGCGATGGAAGACGACCAGGCTTGACTGGCAACCGCCATCGCCCAGCTCTCCCTCGCGCATTACCTCCTCCCGGCCTCCTGGCCGCCTCATCATTATTACCATCCGTCCCCTCGGCCCCTCCCTTCTCCCCTCTCCGTCTCTCCCCTCTCATGTTCTGTCCATGCCTTGCCCTCCCCCCACCCTCCCGCCAAACTGACTTGCACCACCGCCTCCAAGAGGTTTTCCGTGACGACTGAGCCTTGCCGCTGCAGTATCAGGTTCATGCTGGTGTGTCTCAATCGAAGATGAATCTCTCGAGTTTTCAATGTTGAAACAGCTTTCCGCCTGGGCTCCCTGCGTACACCCCTCGCTCCTTCGGTGGCAACTGATGGAAGCCTTGCATTCCCTCGGAATCCAATCGTTAAAGTGCATTCGCGTGTGCTCGAGCCTGGACATCGATGAGAAAGCGCCGATTGAGCGTCGACTAGCGCCGATGAAGCGGCGATTAGCGTCGATTCGCAAGCGCCAGCAAGACGACATGGGAAGTCCCCATGAGTTGTCACAGAACGCTCCTATCGACATCGACCAAACATAATAGTACGATGCATGCGTCTGCGCCCCAGGGGCGACGCGCGCGCTGAGAAATCTCATTGTATATGTTCGGTGGCAGGTGCTTTCTGGCCATACCGCTCGGGTAACGTTATGCTGTAAGATGTTTGCGCTGTGCAGTCGAGCATCTGATCGATAAACCTCCCCCCGAAACGTAGGCCAACGGTTCTCGACGAGCTTGCCGGAAGGCTGGCCTAGTTTTCTCTTGAGTGCGTTCGCCCTTCCAGCGAGCACAGCAGAAGTCTACCCATGCTTGCTTTCAGAAACTCCCAGGAAGCTAGTCCAGATGTCTTACAATGGAGACCCATGCCAAGAAACACCCCGCTTGCCTCCAGGGTGCCCTGGGTTTCATGGGCTTCGATGGTTTTGCGACGGCAAGCGTGACGTTCCCACACCAAGAATCCATGGTCGTCCTGGGGTCTCTGGGTTGGGTTCCCTGTGGAAGGTTTTTTGTGGACTGGCCTCCACTGTAAAGTCTGATGTTCTTCTCGATCGTTCTTTCGGCTGTGCGCGTTCGGCTCGGACGTGCGCCTCTGAGGGGAGCGCACATAGCACTGCCGTCGCCTGCGACATCAAGGCCCGCCAGTGCCCGTCGGTCGTTGAACGCAGGTATTTTTGGATGCCCCGATTTCAATATACTTTAGGCATTAAGTCGTGCCTGTCCCTCTACAGGGGGATATTCAAAAACAATCAACAAATAGTCGGGGGACCTTTTTTTTTGGGGGGGTATTTTAAATCCTTTTGGAGTATTTTTTGAGTATTTTTTATTTTTCGTCGCAAATCCCCCTGTAGGGGGGCACGCCCGACTTACTTTAAGTGTTTTCTTGTTTCAACGATCGAGCGGCTTCGCCGTTTCCGTCCCCTGTCGGGGGCGGGCGGACACCCAATCTATTTACACAACGCCGTCCTGCTTCGTGTTTCTGCCTGCATCTTCCGACCGAGGGGTATAAAAGTGCCGAGAGGGCCCCTCCGACACCCCGCATCTCGGAGCTGGCGGACGGGAGCGCGCAGTGCTGCGACATCAACGTTCCCTCCTGCGGAGGGCCCCCCGCTTCCCGGGCAACGCCGGCGAACTCGGGGGCGAGGGGGTCGCCCTTCGGCATATTGTTGCCAAGGCCCGGCGCGGGCGTTTATTTTGCAAACGGCGGTAGTACACCGATCTGAGATCGTAAGAACAGCATCAGTTTTCGGGCACTCCAGATTTCGCTGAAGAAATTCTTTACGCTTCGCGTGTCCCCACCAGCCCATCTCAAAACAGCAACTCTTGCGAAGCATGCCGACAGTCGTGTTTTTCAGGCGTATGTCCGCTTCCCCCCGCATATCTCCCCTGTTCCTCCTTCCTCCCGCCTCCTTGTACATCCTCCTCGGGCCCCTCGTCCTGGTGTGAGTCGTTCGGGCCCCTCCTCCTGGTGTGAGTCGTTCGGGCTCCTCGTGGTGTGAGTCGTTCGGGGCCCTCGTCCTGGTGTGAGTCGTTCGGGCTCCTCGTGGTGTGAGTCGTTCGGGCGCCTCGTCCTGGTGTGAGTCGTTCGGGCCCCTCCTCCTGGTGTGAGTCGTTCGGGCTCTTCGTGGTGTGAGTCGTTCGGGCCCCTCGTCCTGGTGTGAGTCGTTCGGGCTCCTCGTGGTGTGAGGCGTTCGGGCACCTAGGAGCGTCTTGGGGGCCTCTTGGCGGCCCCAGGGGCTTCTAGGAGCGTCTTGGGTGCCTTGGGGGAGCCTCTTCGGGCCTCTTGGGAGCCTCTTGGAGGCCGTTTGGGGCGTCTTGGGGGCCAAGAGTCCAGGGGCTTCCAGGAGCGTCTTGGGTGCCTCGGGGGAGCCTCTTGGGGCCTCTTGGGGGCCTCTTGGGGGCATCTTGGGGGCCTCTTGGAGGCCTCTTGGGGCCTCTTGGGGCTCTTTGGGAGGGGTCTGGGAGGAATCTTGGGGCCATCTGTCGGGCGATCGATCACAGATGGGGCGAGCACTTTTCTCCCCCCCCCCGTCGGGGCCAGAATCCTCGTGAGGGGTGTCGAATTTTAGGCCTCCCAGGAGTCGAAAAAGACCCTTCCAACCACCCGCGAAACGCCCTCTCCATGCCCAGGGGGAGGGGGTAGGGGGAGGGGTAAACCCCTCCACGAAGGGGAAGAAGGGGGGTTGAGAACAGAGAGAGCTCGCTAAACCACTCACGCCCAAAGGGCTGGTGGGATTCAAGCGGTTGGACTGGGCCCTGGGCGTTTTCTTGGAGCTTCTTGTTTCATCGAGCCTGCGTACATCTGGACCTGGACTACTGTGTACGGAAACGCTTAGGGTGAAGATTGGTTTGTGCTTGCACGTGAAGGAAGTCAAGAGGGGTTTTCATTATGTCGCCCCTTTGGCTCTCTCACTCTTGCTTCACTTAGCTTCTCTGGTCCATAGTCGATGGACGGGGTCGCCATCCCTGGCGGGGCGGCCGCGTTGCCGGCCTGGGTGGTGCTGGCGCTGGAGGCCGCGGCCTACCTGGGGCCAGGGTGGGGCCCTGGGCAGGCTGCCTGCCCTGACCTCTCGTGCCCCGCCTGCCCGGCGTGCCCAGAGGCGGCGGCCTGCCCTGAGGCCGTGGCTTGCCCGGCTTGCGAGCCGCCTCCCTGTGCGGCCTGCCCGGCCTGCGAGCCGCCTCCGTGCGCGGCTTGCCCGGCCTGTGAGGCGAGGGCGTGCCCGACGGTGACGGCGGGCGAGAAGGCGGTCGAGAAGCTGGTTGGAGCGCTGCTCGGAGGGGTGGTGCACTGGCTGGTGGGGAAGGTGATAGCCCGCAGGCATGTCGACGCTCGTGGGGTGGCTCCGCGGAGACGCGGGGCGGGAGTGGTGGACTAGAGCGCTCCCAGGGGAGCGCGTGGTCTGCCGGTTCTCCGACGACGAGGTCGACCACGAGCGAGTGCTGCTACACTACGTGGCAGAGGGTGAGTGGGTCATCCTGACCCCTGACGGTGACATCTACGCGGAGGACATGAGCTGTGAGAACCCCGAGACGGGGCCTTCTCGGGCCTTCCCGCTGGCGCTGCGGACGCGGAAGATGCGGAGGCTGTATCGCTTCCGAGAGGCCCTGGGGCCCGACGAGCTGGCCGACGCGCTGACACGGGGCCGGCAGGCGGCGCTGGAGATAGACGCCGCCCTGCCCGAGCCGAGGGAGGCTGTGGCCGTGAGCGGCCAACGGGTCTCGTGGCAGGAGGCGTCGGGCAGGCTGTCGGCCGCGGAGCGGGCCGGCCTGCTGCGCTTGGGCATGGCCGTGGCTCGCTTGGGCGGGAAGCTTCTGGAGGCTCCTGTGGCGGGTCAGGCCTGGATCGCCCTCAGCGGCGGGCCCGGCATCGCGGTCGGGGCAGAGGTTGACGTGGCGGACGGCGAGGGCCTGAGCTTCGAGGGCGGGCCTGAGCCCTTCGGCGTGCTGAGGGCCTCCGACGGCAGCATGGTGCGACTCGCTCGGCTGGGCGCTGGGGCGGCCCCTGGGCGCGTGAGCGAGGAGGCCGCTGTCTGGCAAGACCTGGGCAGAGGCCATGCCCGTGCCACGGGCCCCGAGCGCCGACGCGCTGAGGCCGCGGGGCCACTCGAGGATGATGGACCCGCTGAGCCTATCGGCGGCACGGCTACGCCCGAGCTGGCGCTGCCTCCCGTGGCGGAGCCGCTGGGGGAGGAGAGAGACGCCGACGCCCGCACGCTCTGGGTCGACTACGACGAGCAGGGCGAGCGGTTCAAACGATGGCGGGACGTGGTAGGTGAGTCGAGGCAGGAGCACTACCCGGACGCGAAGGTGGACGGACCGCCGGGGGCTCTCCACATGCTGAAGCACATGGAGAGGCACGGAGGCGACCCGCGGCTCTGGCTCGACCTCTTCATCCGCATGAAGGGCCTGGGTCAGAATGACCGCGTGGTGCACGAGCTGAGGACGATCGTGGAGGCTTTGTACCAGGGCGGGGTATACGATCAGCTGAACATGGGCGGCCTCATGATGGTGGAGGTGTTGACTCGCCGTGTCGCCGCTGTGGTGGATGCCTACTCGGACCCGACCAAGCCGAGCTGGACGAACGCACGCTTCTTCGAGGGCGTGAGCTCGGTGGAAGACGTCTCGGGGCCAGAGCTCAGGGGCTACGTCCACCGGCGGGCGAAGGAGCAGCATGAGATAGAGCAGGCGCAAGGTCGGGCGCGTACGCTACGCGGGGCGCCTGCAGAGACGGTCGACGGAGCAGAAGGAGCTGGAGGTGACGCAGCAGGCGCGGGGCGTGGTGGCGGCCGAGGCGGCCGCGGGCGCGGCCGGGCCAGGGGCGTCGCCTCTACGGGGCCATGACGGCCCCCGGGCCCGGGGGCTCCAGCCCCACCCCCGGGCCCTTTTTGCCGGGGCACGACGGTGGCCGACTGCCGCCCTCGCGCGGAGCCCGCAGTTTCTTGCCGCTCCCGCTGCTGGGCGACGCAGGCCGCCGAATTCGCGGCAGGTCGAGCAGGGCGAGGCAGTTCGGTCGTGAGGGTCGGATTGCGTCGGAGGTCAACGGTATCGTCGATGCCATCAACTGGATGTCGGGCTACGACTCACATCCTGGCCCAGCTAATGACATGCAGCGGGATGTGCTTGAGCGCTTCGAGGGCCTCGTGCGGGGCCGGCAGCCGGACGCCAAGTTGCAGGAGCCGCAGGCGGCCCTCCGGGAGCTGCTGCGGGGTCGCTCGCCATACGATGGGCGCGGCGGCCCGACGACGGTCGCCTCCTACAGTGCAGGGCTCGTCAGCATGCCGACGGACGTGAGCGACTGCCCGCGTCTGGAGGACCTCTTGCCTGGCGAGGCCCTTACCTTCCTGCAGGAGCGCCAAGAGCGCATGTTACGAGTGACACCTTTGCCGACCGACGTCGAGCCGTACTTCGACTCGGTCCTCAAGTTCAACCACAAGGAGTACCGCGGCCTGGTACGTCGGCTGCTGTCAGCTGGCATCCTGGGGTGGACTCTGACACCGAAAGAGAGGATTGGGATGTTTTCTGTGTGGAAGGATGGGCGGCGCCGACTTCGTCTCATAGTCGACGCCCGCCGTACGAACGCCCACTTCAGAGATCCGCCTGGGGTGGAGCTACTGAGCAGCGAGGGCCTCGCCAGGATCGAGGTGCAGATGCCAGACGCTGGCTTCTCGAGCTACGAGGACCTCCGCGCCGCACTGCAGGCGCAGCAGGTGTACATCGGCATGGCGGACGTGAAGGACTGCTTTCATCGAATGCGTATCGATTCAGCCCTTTCGCAGTACTTTTGCCTGCCGCCGGTCAAGGCTGGGGCCTTCGGCGTGACCGAGGTCGAGGGGATCAAGGTACGGACGTCGACGGCCATCTATCCTTGCTGGCAGGTCCTGCCCATGGGTTTCAGCTGGTCTCTCTATTTCGCCCAGCGGGCAAACGAGGAGGTAAGCCGCCGCAGCAGCGCGCTCCTCTCGGGGCCCAGCTTGTCAGACCATGGGCCACCGCTCGTGTTCGCGCCCGGCGGGGCGCCCAAGGAGGTCAGGCACTATGTGTACGTGGACAACTTGGGGGTCTTTTCGCTGTTCTCTGAGCTTGTGAGCGGCGTGATGAACCAGCTGACGGGCGAGTTCACCGAGCTGAACCCACTGTTGCACAAGGACGAGCTGGTGCCGGGCATGGCAGTGGCGCTTGGCATGGAGATCGACGGCAGCCGGTTGCGCACTCGTGTGGCCAGTGATCGCTTCTGGCGTTGCCGCCAGGCCGTGCGAGGCCTCCTAGCCCGCCGCCGTGTCAAGGGGTGGGCCGTGGAGGCGGTGCTGGGCCATCTAACCTTTTGTGGCCTCTGCTCGCGCGGCACCTTGTCAGCTTTCAATTCAGTGCACGGCTTTGTGCGAGCCCACTACGAGGAGGCGGCCGTGCTATGGGCCGAGGCTCGGCGAGAGCTGGCCGCCTTCAGCTCCCTGATGTACTTTTTGGAGTCAGATTGGTGGCTGCCCTGGAATCCGATGGCGCAGCAGTCTGACGCCAGTCTTCACGGCTACGGGCTGGCAAGAGCCTTTTGGCCGCAGGAGCTGGTGGAGTCAGTCGGACGCGTGCCTGAGCGAGCCCGCTTCCGCCGGCGCTGCGCCCACAGTGCTCGAGAGGCGGCGCTCTGTGCAGCTGGTTTCAGCATGAGTGAGAGTGGAAAATGGGAACTCAAGGGCCTTCCCGAGGACGAGGAGGAGCTGGGCCAGTGGGACGTCGTGAGGGACTTCCCGGAGGTGCCCGCCCAGGGGCTCCGCGCAGGCCTTTGGGAGCCCTGTTTCGCGTGAGCCCGGCAGCACCCTGAGGGCATCTTGACCTTGGAGGCCCGAGCCCTGGTCAGCAGCATTCATCGTATCGCCACTACGGGCTTTGGGTCCCATATACGTCAGTTACTGCTCTGTGACAATATGTCGGTCGTGCTAAGCTTCAATCGGGGAAGGAGCTCGTGTTTCAACTTGTTGGTCCAGATTCGTCGATTTCACGCTGTCTGTTTGAGCCGAAACATTCGTTGTTCGATTCGTTGGATACCTAGTGAGCTCCTTTGTGCCGATCTTCCCTCACGGCTGTTCGATCCTGGCGGCGCAAAGTCTACTCTTCTGGCTGAGCTGTTGGAGCCCGAGGGCTCCCAGGCGAGCCCAGGGCGGGTCTCCGCCTGGGCCGAGCCCGAGCGGGCGGCCGATGGCGTCGCGGCCCGCGATGCGGCCTGGGCGCCCTCGAGCGCCAGATGGGCGGGGGCGCTCTCGGAGCCCCCAGCAGGTCAGGCGAGGCGCGCGGCCTGGGGCGGGCCGCTGGCGCACGAGGCTGCTGGCGCCGTCTCGCCCAGAGCCTGGCCTGCAGCCGCCAGCCCGCGGCCAGGGGGTGAGGCGCACGCGGCAGCTGGTCCCTGCGCCGCCGATAGCGCCGCTGCCGCTGCCGGCAGCTCGGCGGGAGCGTCAGCTGGGCGAGTCGGGGCTCTTGAAGACGGCTGTGTTGAGCCGACCCCTGCCGCGGGGCCTGGGGCAAGTGGTGGAGGACCTGACGAAGGTGCCTGTGCCCGCGGAGCCCGCTCGGGGAGCGCGAGAGAGCGTCGGCTCCTCCGACAGCGGGAGCTCCGAGCCCGAGGTCGTGACCGGCGCCGCGCGGCTGCGCAGGCTCGCGCAGTCGCAGAAGCGCCGTGCTCGCCACTACGGGATGCCTGCCGGCGAAGAGGGTTTCTCTCTCCTGGAGCGGGAGGCCGTGCGGACCCCGACGCAGCGCGAGTACCAGAGGGCCTGGGACGGATGGCGGGACTTTGCCCGTCGGAGCTGGCCCTCGGTCGACATCGACGAGGTCATGAAGAGCAGAGACGATTCCGAGGTAGACTCGGCGTTGGTGAGCTACCTGAACGGCCTGTACCAAGCTGGGACTCACCTCTCCTGGGCCGAGAAGCTGATGGCGGGGGTCTTGCACTTCAGCCCCGACTTCTCGCGCTACGGTGCCCGGCGCCTCCCCCGGGGCTGGAGATGCCTCCGGGCCTGGCGGCGCCTGGAGCCGCCGCGGGCGAGGAAGCCGTGGGCGCTGGCGCTGTGGTGCGCCATGGCGTGGCGCATGAAGGCCCGTGGCAGTCTTCAGATGGTGGTGTTCACGTTGATAGCAGTCAGCGTGCATGCCCGCCCCAGCAGCCTTTTGCTCCTGAAGCCGGCCTGCCTGGTGCCGCCAGCGCCGGGAGTGTGCGAGTTCTGGACCTTGAGGCTCTTTCCAGAGGAGGAGGACCTGAGGGGCAAGACGGGCCTGGGGGACGTGTCGCTAGAGTTAGACTCGCCCTGGATTCGCTTCTTGGACCCTGTGCTGCGCCAGATGAAGAAAGAGGGCCACCCCGAGTGCCTGTGGAACTTCACGTACCCAGAGTACTGCAAGATGTTCAGCCTGTGCCTTCAAGACCTGCAGGTGAAGGCCAAGGTGGTGCCGTACCAGATGCGCCACTCGGGGGCCTCGATAGACATGGCGAGAAGGTGGAGACGGCTGGCCGACGTGCAGAAGCGCGGGCAGTGGAAGACCAACCGCAGCGTGGTCCGCTACAAGAAGCATGCACGCCTGGCGGCCACGTGGGCGACACTGAGCAGCGCGCAGCAAAAAGTGTTCCTGGTCTGCGAGGCTCAGCTCGCGGACATCATTTTGGGGCGCGCCTCGCCGGTCGACTTGCGGGAGCTCGACCACGCCTGACGGGCCAGTACCTAGCCGACTGCTTCAGTGGCAAAGGAGGCGTGGGGCGCGCTGCAATGGCGATGGGCGTGCCAGCCAGATTCTGGGACACGCTGCACGGGCCAGGCGGCGACCTGCTCCGACGGAAGGTCCTGCGTGGGCTGTGCTCGGACATTGCCGCTGGCCGTGTCTTAGCCGTGATGCTGGCACCGCCCTGTGGGCCCTGGACCACTGCTGCAGACCGTGTGGGGGCCATCCGCTCGGCATCGCAGCCCTGGGGACTCCCGCCACATCTTTTGAATATGAAGCAGCTTGCACGCCTGGCGCTTGGCAATAAGACCATGCGTGCTGCGCTGTCTATCATCAGATGTGGTGAGAAATTCAGAGTTCCCTGCATACTCGAACATCCTGTGAATTCACGCGTGTTTGTCACGAGAGAGGTTCAGGGGTTTATAGATCGGGGGGCCAACGTAAGATGTCTCGACCAGTGTCAGGAGGGTGCTCGTTGGCGCAAGCGGACGCGATTTTTGTGTCTGAACATAGATATCCAGGATAGTAGCTGTCTCGATCGACGGTGTACTCAGATCAACGGAATCTGTAACAAGTCTGGCCGTCATCACATTGTGCTTGAGGGCAACGCCCCGAATGGTGCGAAATGGACCGCTATCGCTGCCGCCTATCCGCCTGCCCTCAATAGGAAGCTTGCCAAAGTCCTCTTGAGTGAATGGCGCGCGTCTTTATATAATCGCACTTGCCCGCCCACCCAGTAAACATTCTTGGGAACGGCTTGGGTTGATGGTGCCTCACAGCTGAGCGCCAAGACGCGCAGCCGTTCGTTCATCCGAGTCCCCGCCTTGAAAAGATCTCGGGACGTCCTGGTTTGTGCTTGCACGTGAAGGAAGTCAAGAGGGGTTTTCATTATGTCGCCCCTTTGGCTCTCTCACTCTTGCTTCACTTAGCTTCTCTGGTCCCCCGCCCCCCCGAACCCTCTCTAGCATGCGTGACACATGCCCAGTCTCATTTTTCTCGTTGAGTTGATGGTGCCTCACAGCTGAGCGCCAAGACGCGCAGTCGTTCGTTCATCCGAGTCCCCGCCTTGAAAAGATCTCGGGACGTCCTCTTTTTTCAGTGTAAGATATTCGTAACCGTATGCAGATTGAACGGGGTGCATGTCCTTCTGCGTCCCATCCCAGGCCGCCATGGTCCCCCTTGATGGCTTCGCAGAGCCGGCGGAACTCCCCGCGCAGGCGGGCGCGCGATCCCGCGCGGGGGTGGGGGGTGCGCGGCCCGTGGCGGCTCGGCGCGGTCCGCTTTGGGGATCGGCGCGTGCTGAAGGCTTCTCTTCTTCTCTCCGAGTGGTGACGGCGAGGAGCACTCGGACGAGGACTGGAACCACGGGGATGATGATGATGACGATGCTGCTGATGCTGCTGCTGATGCTGATGCTGATGCTGATACTGATGATAAAAAAAGAAGAGGGTGAAGAACATGATGCTGATGATGATGCTGATGATCATTATGATGGCGATGATGATGTTGATACTGATGCCGATGATGAGTATGATGCCGATGCTGCTGCTGATGATGCTGATGCTGCTGATGCTCATGCCGATGCTGATGCTGATGCTGATGCTGATGATGATGATGAGGATGAGGAGGAGGAGGAGGAGGAGGAAAATGAGGACAATGAGTGACATCGAGCAAGCTTCCTCGCGTCCAGCGAAGGGAGGGCGGCCCCTCCCCAGCGCTGGCAACCAGCAGACAGCTCGCAAGGTGTCCGCTGGGATCCCGCCTCCCCCCGCGCGCAGGGGAGGCCGATCCCAGAGGCGGCCCCAGGGGACCGCCCTCCCCAAAGCCCAACACCTCAGAACATCCCGTCCCTGCAGACCTGCACTATGACGACTTGCCGAAGAGCTCAAGCTGCCCCGCCTTGGTCGCCAGCTCGACCAAGAAGAACTGACCAACGATCAACTGCAGATCCGGCATGACGAACTTGCCGACCTTCTTCGTCTCGACCGCACCCGCGCCATTTCCACCTTCACCGAGGGCCCCGAAGGCCTGGCCAATCATCACGAGCCACTGCACGTCGAGCGTGCTGCTCCTCGCCGTCTCGGCGTCCTCGTGCCGCTCTCCTCGTGCGTCGTCGCGTGCTGGACGACTCCGCCGGAGAGGCTCACGCACCCGCCATGGCCCGAGGCACCTGCGCCACTCTCAAGTGCGGTGCCTCAACTCCCTGAGCCGCGATCGAGAGGAGAGCGGCAGGAGGAGAGGAGGATGAGGAGGAGGAGGAGAAGGACCAGGAGGAGGAGGAGGAGGAGGAGGAGGAGGAGGAGGAGGAGTCGGCTGGCTGCGTCCATGGAGGACCATGGTGCCACCAGCCCGAGCCCGAGGAGGAGAGGCAGGGCAAGTAGGGGGAGGAGGCGGAGGAAGAGGAGGAATCCTGGAACTCGGGAGCCTGACGAGGTCATAACAAGCAGCATGAACATCTGCTGGAATGGATCAGAGACTCCCGCCTCTTCGGGGTAATGCTGAGTGAGGCCACGCCGTTGTGCGTGATTGCGGAGTTGCTGATCTGCGAAGTGGCGAAAAGGGCCGGCCCTGTTGCCGACGGGTGAGCGGGGTGCGGCACGGCACAAGCAGGGGCAGCCAAGGCAGCGGATCGTTTGTTTCAGCCTGCGGCTGACCTTGGTGCGCCGCCAATCTCTCAAGAGTCGACCGCGATCTTCGCGTCGGGAATTGGCTGCGCGCGCTTCTGCGCCTCCCGCAGCACATCTTCCCTGCAGTGCGGGCACTCTTGGCATCCAGCGACGCGAGATGATCTGCCGCCACATTGACGGCAACCCACCAATCTGGTAAAGCCCTTTGAGCAACATCACGGGCCTGAATGTGCGAAGGAGACGAGAGAGAGAGAGAGAGGGATACGTCTATATAGATATAGAGTGTGTATGTGTGACCGAGGGAGAGAGAGAGAGAGATCAACACAAAGAGAACGAGAGAGAGAGAGAGAGTGAAGGGGTACACGCAACAAATATCAACGTGGCCTTTTTGGTTGTGCCAACAGGCTGCGAGGCGCAGGTGTTTCCTTCGTCATCTGAAGCTGGAGTGGAATGGATGGGCCTGGAGGAGTCACAAGGGATTGGAACCTCCTCCTGCTCCTCCTCCTCCTCCTCCTCCTGGGGCGAGGGCAACGAACCTCGAGGATTAATCCTGGACCCTCTCCCTCTTGACGACGGCGACGACAACGACGTTGCCGATCGCGACGACAATGACAATCAGACCTCGACGATGACGACGAGCGACGCCCGATCTGCATCCGATGACAACCACGAAGACGACGCCGTCGATCGGGCGCCTAGACCCCCCCCTCCCCCTCTGCACAAAGGCAGCGGCGGACGGCCTCGCCACCCGCCTCGAGCCCGGCGCCTCCGCCTCGTCGACCGCGGAAGGGGGGGGGGGGGCAAGGGGCAACGCTAGGGGGGGGTAGGCTCAGGGGGGGGGGCTCATCGACCCCCGATCGCCGAGTGGGGGCCCGACGAAGCCCTGCGCCGCCCAGGAGCGTGCGGCTTCGTGATCGGGGGCCTGTCGCCGATTCTGTTCGTGCGAGGCTCCCCACCGACTTCAGCGCGAGTCCTCCCCATGAGGACGGGCCCCCTCTTATCGTTCCCCCTCGAAGAGAAGGACGCGGAGGAGGAGGAGGAGAACGACCATGTTTGATGATGGCAATGACGACGATGAGATGATGATGATGATGATGATGATGATGATGATGAGGATGATGATGATGCTGATGATGATAATGCTGCTGCTGCTACTGATGATTATGATGCTGATGATGATAATGATGATGATGGTGATGATGATGATGCTGATGATAATGCTGATGAGATGATGTTGCTGATGCTGAGATGATGATAATATTGCGATGATGATGGTGATGATGATAATAGTAATAGTACTACTAATAATAATAAGCCGGGCGTGGTCTTACAAGCCCGGCTGCTCGATGGATTTTGCGTTGCCTCCGCTTCCGCTTCCAGATGCGTGGCCCCGCAGCTGCCTCAGGGCCGCGCCCAGCCCCCGCAGGCCCCGCCCCAGCAGAGCCAGCCCAGCCCCCAGGAAACTCCAGTTGTCCCCAGGGGGCGGGGGGTGCGCGGGGCCGTCCTGCGCTCCCAAGCAGGCCCCAAAGGCACCATCAGGAATGGGGCCCCCATGCAAGGTGGGCGCCTGGCACAGGGCCCCCCTGTCAGACGCAGATGCGCGCTACCCTCTGGTGTGCCTGCAAGGCCTTGAGGCTGCAGCCCTCACCAGGACAAAAATGCAAAACAAATAGGGGGCGCTGCCCCTGCTGCTGCTGCTTCTGCTTCCCCCCCCCCCCGCTTGCCTGAGGCAACGCAGTGAAATGGGAAAATGCTATAGAACGGGGCGAGCAGACTAAGCCCACACCCCCCTTCCCTGAAATAATATCGACATTGTAGTAAAATGGGGCAATCTCCCATACTCCGGGGGCCCTTCGGTTTCATCCAGGGGCCCCGAATTTTTCTTGCCTCTGCGCAGCGCGTCCCCGCACACGGCGCTCATTTATCTAAATTCCAGAATTCCTCGATACGCAAAGCTCTACAGAGATCAAAAAGGCTTTACTTGCACAGAATCCTTTCTACAGTGATTTCCCCTGAAATGTCACTGTCAATGCCATGACAACCTCCAGCAAG